GTAAGTAGTAGGTAGTAGGTAGTAAGTCGTAGTCGTCGTTGTGGTCGTCGTGGTAGAAGTACCAACACCACCACCACCAGCACCACCACCACCACCACCGCCGCCACCACGGCCAGCAGCACCACCGCCACGACAATAACGACTATGTAGTCCTAATACTCCTGCTGCTGCTGCTGCTGCTGCTACTATTCCTCTACTGCTCCTGTTGATACTATTAGTCTACTCCTCCTGCTGCTGCTAGCGACTACTATTGGTTTCAACTCCTACCCCTTCTCAGCTCCGACTTCCATTCCTAATGTGACCGGGACGGCTACTGCTACGAAGTGGTTCAAGGGCGGCAGCCTCCATGAGGGGTGTCTCGCCGACCAGGTCAGAACGACTGGGATCGACATGCGCCTTCGTGAGGAGATCCTGAGCATCTAGCGTCAGTCGCCAAACTCGACCCGACTCGCAGAAGTCTCAAGGGTCGTCAGTCAGAACGGTCCCACGTTACAGGACGCGCCTCGATCAAAACCTGCGCACGCTTCTCGTCCTCTGATCAGTGCTACACTTTGGAACTCTCAAGACTACAGTAACAGACAAGACTTCGCAGGAGGTCCAGTGAAACCGGGCTTAGAAGATCTCGTCACGACCGGTTGTAGAACACGAAAGCTGTCGGCTTCTTGCCCCGCAAACCCCACTCGCGGCTCCAGCAAGAAGTTCCGGACCGCCGACATCAGTGGTGTCTCACCTCGATTTGGATGGAGATTTTCGAGGCGACACGCAGCAAGTACCCATGTCGAGGCTATTCGATGCGAAGCAGGTGACACTGACAAGTTTAAGCACCCTCAGCTCGTGCGCAGGCCCCGAAAACACCATGCCACAAAAAGCACGGCTGCTTCAGATTGCACTCTTCCGCAACAATAGTATGTATAGCAGCTAGTGCAGTGGCAACGGTATGCAACTGCGAGCCTCTAGCCGTGGTTGCCTTCCGCGCCTTCGCTCCAAGACCCTGTGAGCTTTCGGACTGCTAAAGCTTAGCTACTATAACCTCCCGTATACATGTCCCCGGCACTCCCGAGGCGGCACTTTGAGCAAGGAAAGGCTGCATGGATCCGAGGTACCGAGTGAATTCTGGCGATTCTTTGGGGCAGCGTTCTGAAGGAGGAAGGTCAACATCTCCTGGCCAGGAAATCGCCTCCAAAGAGAATCCCTGAAACTCACTTGCCTGGTCTGTGGCTTCTGGTGTTGCTTGGAGCGCGTGTGCCAACCAATGAAGAGGCCTCAAACGCGAGAGCGGAAGTAGCCGAAGAGGGCTAAGCTGCTGGGAACGATGCAAGCTTTCCGAGCTTTTGCTGTTCGGGACCCGGGCGTGTTTCCATCCTCGTCGGCCACATCCTGCCATGCATCCCGACAGCGTCCCGTCTGAGAACAGCGAACTCCACTACACACAGAGCACATCTCTGCTCAAGGATCTGAGCGCCAGCGCCTCCAGTGAAATCTGCGAGGCTGCTATCAACTTCTTCGCCTTCAAAGGGCGCATGGAGCTCCAGGACCTCGTGACGCTGCCGCGCCTGTGCCAGGCGGCCGTTCAGGACATGGTGCTTCAGCTCGAGGATAGTGCTGCCACCCGCCATGGACCTGCCAAGCTTCGGGCGCCCGACACTTTCCGACACTTTCGGGACTTGTGGACAGCATGCTGCATTCTGCACTTGTCCTTAAGGGTCGAATCACAGTTTACGAAAAGGCCTGCAGCAGCCCAACGCGAAAGGCCCCAGATCGTGGCTGTACAGTTGCCGTCTTCGATGTGTTGCAATGGATCAGATGCAATTTTCGGAGTCCCGTTGCGAGACCACAGAACCACCAGTAATGGTATTTCAATATGGCTGACAATCACCCATGTTCAACAGCCCTGGAAACCATCTTTCTTCATGCCTCCTGGACAGGCGGGCTTGTGCCGAAAACGGTTGGCCGGAAATTTCAGCTGCACGTGCGATTCCATGCACTACAGGGAAGAGAAGACAGACGATGATGATGGTGGTGGCGGTGGTTAATTTGGTGGTGCTGGTGTTGGTGTTGGATGTGGTGCCGGCCCTGGTGCTGGTGCTGTGCTCATGGTGATGACGGTGAGGATGAGGCTATTTTTAGCCAAGGTGGTCAAAGCGAGGATGAAGATGAACGAGAAGAAGGAAGATCGTGCTGATGATTCTTTCGCTGGGGCTGCTGATGACGAACGATGGCGATGAAGACAACACACGTAACTCAAAACGGTAACAACAAGCCTTCAGCAATACTCTCCGGCCATGGAATGACTGGACGGTGCGTCCACATGCAAGCAACAAAAACAATCAGCTACCTTTCACATGCTCTTGGGAGGGCAGGGAGTGCAGGGCCTCGCCAGAAGTCCATGGAGACCCTTCATCTTGCCATGTCCTCCATGGTGATGCTCTTGGGATTCAGCGAAAACGTCTTGGTGAGCTGGTGTGCTGGATCCGGAGAGTTGTCCTTCGGGCAGAAGCAAGCATAAAGGCTCCTTGCTACTGCTGCTGGTACCAGTAGTGCTACTAGCATTGCGAGAATTACTCGTAGTACCAATGAAACGAGTATGACTAGTAGTGCAAGCATTGCAAGTATTACGAGTCTTGCCAGTCTTGCTGGTCTTGCTGGTCTTACTGGTATTCCTAGTCTCAAAAAACCTTACTGGCATTGCTAGTGCTACTACGACGACGACTACTACTACTCCTCCTACACGACCACTACCACCACGACAGCGACCACGACAAAAACTGCTGTTGCCTACTACTGCCTTTGGCCGGTTCTAAATTCCTGCTCAAGCAGGTGGTTTGGCTGCAGCGGCGTGACCGAGTTTTAGTTTCAGTGTCCTCGGTGGGGGTCCACGGTGAAGGCAACCATTGTATTGTACGCGTGTGCATGCATAAATACATGCATACATACACACACAGAGACGAACATACGTACGTAGTATCTATACGTGTATATACATACATGGCCGACATTTCTCGAAAACAAATATATTAATCCGCACACACATACACAACAATACGTGCCCAGTAGCACATTGTTCCGCATCACTCAACGGGCCTTTGCGTGGCGATCATGTTCACTTGCGTTGTTTCATCTCTTTCATGTTGCTGTAGTGCTACGATTGATATCGCTGCTGCAACTGGTGATAACATCAGCGTTCTACTTTGACCGTCTGTGCTTTAACATTAACCATGGCTATCATTAGTGATGTGCAGTGCTACTGAGTCACAATTTCTACTCCCTTCTGTTCAAACCCATCTAGTTCAAACAACTCTCTTGAGATTTACCCAGCTGTTGTTCGCCTTGGTTTCCCTCGTCAGCTTCCAGCCTGCAGATGTCCGTTTTGCTGTCGCGCCACTGACACCCCACTTGTCAATGCCGCGAGGCCGGCTGATTACGACTGGCGACTGTTCGGGCCTTCAAGAGCGCATAAGCACTTCTGCCAGAGTTAAGGCAGTTCTGGTAAGGACGGTACTGGCAAAAACGCTTTGCCAATTAGAACAGCAAAATCTGCCACGGTAGACTCAGTAGATCCATGACTTCCCTCGCTGTGCATGTTGCCGACAGCCGTTCTAATGTGTTGCTCCGTCAGCCCTTTGTGAGGTGTGACCCAACTCGATGTTGCCATCGAATGGCATCATTCGCATCGTGAATGTTGCGCTGAAGCCTTCGCTGCCGCTAGCCCACTGTACGTGTCTCAGCGTGCCTACACCCCGTCGACTGCCCACATTTGCGGGATCGACACGGCTCCTTCACCAGACGAGCTTCTTTGCCCTTCACATAGCAATGACGCTTTTTGGCTCAGAATCTCCGGTTGCTGGTTTAGGTCTGATGCGCAGTAGCAATGATGTTGGCTTTGTGTTTCTGGTTGTTGCACCCTGCAATCCCCAACACCTATAGCTTTCTATGCAAAACCAGCAAACTGGTCCGAGTGCCGGTGGCATGAGCCGGAGGCAGTAATCATGTCCGAAGATCGGAGTTTCGGGCTTTGCCCAGCCCAAGCAGATCAGTCCACGTCGATGGACACTGGCCTCAGGGCAAACTGGAACCGTGAACCTGAGCTCCTCTCCTTTTGCTACACTGAGCACGGGGATGGGGACTCGGTTGAGGGAGCAAGACCGCGATTAAAAGGATAAACTGGCATGTGTGATGCTGATCGTTTGTCAGTGAAAGGCAAGGCAACCACTGTTGCCCTCACCGGAACACCATTGCACACCATTGCCACACGCTCACGGCCACGAGGCAACAGTGTGGTGTTTCGTTCTGCGCTCCCACATCTTCCACTGGTAACAAGCAGTAATCTCAGAGTCTCAACACTCGCCCGCTTGTGTTCGACTATTCTTCCGGGATGCTCCGATACCCAGGAGTCCTCCCCGGCGTCCTGCGCAGAAGTACATGAAAGAATGTCCAGCGGCTGCAAACGGCTAGCTCCTCGGCACCTGCTTCCTTTGGCTTCGGAAAGAAGAGCCGAAGCCTGGGGCGTCAACCGATATGTTGTCTACTGTTCAAGAGGCTGCAGTTTGACTCGGGAGGCCTCGAAGACAGAAAGTTTAAGGTCTGCCACAATCTGCACGGGCTTCCCTAAGGAGTCAGGAGCTAGGCAATGCTACGCATTCTCGGCAACACCTGGCAGCTGCAGGCTTTGAGGATCGCTCTAGCCTCTTTGAACGTTGCTCAGGCTTAGAACTTGTCGGGTCTGATTTCGTTGGGCCTTTCTTGCTTCACGTCGTGGCACGAGTGTTGCTGCATCTCTGTTCCGTTGGACACTCTACGTTGTGTCTTTGTGCATTTCGCGCTGCCTGCAGCCTTGAAGAGTTGATAACTGCGAGCTAGCCCATCTTAACGTAGGGGAGCATCGAGACCCCGAAAAAGCACCAGGATTCAAAGCACGTGGGCTTATAGCCAGCATCCAATGGCAGCGAAGCGGCTGGCGAGGATCCTCTCCGGCCGACTCTTGCTGTGCTCCCGGCGGATTGGGATTACCTACGAAGGCTCAACCGATCCGTGGTCCATGCTTTGGGTCACGTGGAGATCCCAAGAAGCTGACGCGCTGCGATCCCGGAGCCTGACTCTGCCGACTCTGGCTCTGGATTCTCGACGGGTCGCGTCTTCGAGAAAGTCCCCTGCGCTCACTGCCGGGACTCACAGCCCTCTCTCGTCGGGAACCATCTCTGACATCCCCTCCCGTGCCCAGGGATTCCTGACCTTCGAGCCCACATTCTCAGCGCCGATTTTGGATGCCTGCCAGGAGCCGCGTACTTGTGCACACAGACAAACGAACACATAGACAAACAAGATAAAACAAGCGCGTGCAGATGCACGTGCGCACACAAAACACACGCGCACACACACAAACACACACAAACACGCAAACACACACACACACAGAGACAGAAACACAGACACACACACACACACAAAGAGACACAGACACACACATACAAAGAGACACAGACACACACACACACAGAGACACACACACACACACTTAGGCTTGGCAGGAACTGATGAGGCGAACCTCGAGCATCCTAATGCCAGATTACAGCAACCGTACAGAATCATTGAGGCCAATGACAGAAACAACAGCGTTTAGGGAGTTTAGGGGTACTTTGGGCTGGCCATTGCGAAGGTACGTGGATCGAGCGTCCCCGGTCCATATCAGTCACAAGCATGGCCCTCTTCGTTGGACCGTCAACCATGCTTGCAAGACGGTCCCCCTGCTGTTATGTACAGGTAACTTCCAGAGTCATGTCGCCATGTGCAGGCGTTTACACACACACAGAGACACAAAAGCAGACACACACACACACACACGCGCGCGCGCGCTTGCACTGACACTTACACTGACGCTTACGCTTACGCTTACACGTACACGTACACGCGCACACACACACATTTACACACTTACACTTACTTTGCAAAACGACGGAGCGCGATGCCAACAGTAAGCTGGTTTCGGATGCCAACTAGTGCCAACTGGTTTCAAGTACCAACTAAACCAATTGATGCAACAATGCCAACTGATACCTACTCATGGCGATGAGGGTGAGGGTGGGGTCAGCAGCTACGTTTACAGTACCCGGGCTCCGCCGGGGGATCTTCGTTGACCACGGTACCATGCTGATTGCAGATAGTCAAGGGACATGAGCTTACGCACACACACACACAGAGACACACACACACACACGCACGCACGCACGCACAAGCACACACAAACACACACACACATACATGATTGGACCCTCGAGTGGCCGAAGCCAAACATGGGATAGCACGTGTTCCGACACTCGTAGCCTACTGTCTGCATCTCTTCTCTTGCATGTTTCACTCAGCAGCTTCAGCAGTGTATTGGGGTTCTTGGCTTGGCCCCAAGACACACAGCTCGCAAAAAAACTGCAGGCACATAAGGATGCGTCCATCCTTGCTTCACGAGGACTAACTCGGCATCTTCGTTAGCTCTGGTCCCACTTAGGCTCCCAGAGCCCCTGCTTTTTCTTCAAACATGCATGCATCGTTGCCCTTGGCTTCAGGGATTTACACACACAGTTGCCCCGGAACGGGGTAACACGAAGCAACAATCATGAGGACACTGGGAATTTGGCTGTGTGTGCATCCGTTCGCCTGCGGGAGAACTTCTTTTGGATACGAAAAATCCTTTGTGCTGGATAATCTCGATTGACATATCGTCGACCGGTTGCGTGCGCATGTTGGTCTTTTTGAGACCTTGGGTAAGAGCATCGCGAAGCAAGGCACATTCTGCTGTTGACCGCAGCCATTTTGTGGCTATCACTTCCAGCAGAGTTCAAGGGTTTGAACTGAAATTGCTTGTCAGGAATTATGAATGCAAGACGTCGCTCTGCTGGGCGCAGAATGATGCCAAGAAGCTCCCCGGTTTCGACGTCTTCAAGCTCAACAGGATGTTCGTAGAAATCAAGCTGACGCAACTGCTGAAGCCAAGCAAAGTGTGCAATCCGATCAGAATATACGACCAACCTGTTGTCAACATAAAGGCAAATGAAGATAAGATCACGATGAGGTAGGATCACATGTTGGCTGCGATTCCACCATTGCTGCTCAGTGTAGCTGACTGCGATGTCTGCAAGCACTGGTGAAATTTGATTGCCAACGGCGCTGTTACGGACTTGCTGAAAAACTTGTTGCATCTGTGTAAAAGGTGAAGTTTGCAGCAATAACATGCAAAGTGGGAGAACATCACATAATCGAATGTGATATGCTCGTCCACGAAGTGCTCGCTTGGTACCTCGAAAAATACGTAAACGGACATCTTTTTCTTTGGGGAAAACTGTGAAAGCCATGTCATCTCGATCATTGTGGCATTGCCAAAGGAGTTGGGGAAAACATCTCTCATCATAGCCATGAGTACGAAGGCAGTGCAACGAAACATTCGACCAAAGGGAAAACTGCGATAGCTGATGATGGGACGAGCACCGAGGAAGTTCTTCTTGGCTTTGAGGGGCACATATGAAGTGGGGACGTCAGTGCGCTGCTGGATTCCCCATTTGTATCTCTTTAGCCAAGGCTTGCTGGCAATGTCGGAGAGATGTCTTTGTGCAGCTGTAGGAGACATGTTACGTTTGTTGCACACCTTAGGTTCTCCAAAAGTCTCCTTGAGTACATGATGGTACAATGCAGGGCAAAAAAATGAATGTGACTAGCGGCATGATCACGACCTTGTACAACCAGTTGATCAGTAATTGAACGAATAAACCTGATGTCTTCCATGTTGATCGGGACAAAGGCAAACTGCCTATGATCTTTCCACCCACGCACAAGGAACTGTCTCCACATTGAATATGTAATACCACCAATCTTGTAATGCTGAAGCCAATGATCAAGTGCATGCCAACTTGTTTGACAATACTCTTCAAAGTCGGGATAGATTTGAGTACCAGCACTGCAAGAGAGCCAAAACCGAAGACGACGAGAAACATTGAGAAATCTGGCTTCCGAAGCAATATGTTCAATGCCTTCAATGGTGGTACGTAGCTGATGACAGGGGCCATCGGGAGATTGGTGCGAGGAGAAGCGACCCGCTTGAAATGTGAGTATAACTTGTTTTCCATAGTAGGAAATTTTCCTGCAACGACGCTGCAAACAGGGAGATGACAAGGTGTGAGGAAGTCTTTGCGGTCAATGACAATGCGACGAAGCCATGCACGAACATTACCGGTGAACGACCTGTGAGCGAGAACTGGAAGACTGATGGCTTTGGCTTTGGATGGCAGTCTGGCACTTTTGAACGTGATTGCAATTTTTTGCAATCCGCGCACCTTTGATCTTGGTGGATCTGCAAGATTGTTAGACAAACGATGGAGCGCGAACAATTGGTCTGTAGAATACTGTGCGCTGCGCAGGGATCTGGCCATCTTGAATGACCGAGATGAATTGTCTGCCAATTGAAAAAGACCGTGCCATTGATGATCATCACGAAAAATAGTCTGGCGATACAGATGCAAATTCATAGTGTGAAACAACCGACGGCGGAGCTTGCGAAAAATTCGAGTTCCAGGGACACCATATTTCATAGCCAGTGAATTCATTCTGCAATTTGTTCAGGAAGTCGTTTTTGTAGGCATCATTCGAAGAATGAAAGGAAAATTAAATACTGGAGACCATTTCTGTATTCTGGTTGCCTCCGTAGTCTTGACATCCAAACCAGATTGACATCGAATGAGAGGAATCATGATGTACTCCTCAAGGTTGTCCCGAGTGTGAAACCAGTGTAAATCTAATTCGCATGAAATGGGCTGGAAAAGTTGCAATTGTCGACACTGGCGAAGTCTTGCATCTTGCCTTGCCTGCGATGACATGAACACGTAGTGCATCCGACATAAAATTCTTTTTTGATGAAAACATGGCGCTTTGACCTTCTCGTCCGGAAGGTCAGGGCAAGCTGCCGAAACCAACAAATATGTACTGCGCGGAGAGAGAAAGGCCTCAATCACTTTGCTTAAGCAGATCTGAGAACCATGAACTTGACTAAGAAACCGACGGCGCCACACGCGAACTCTCGAAGAATAAGCAGAACGCAATGTCAACCGAAACTCACAAAAATTAGGTTGATGTAAGGCTGCCTTTAAACGAACAACTGCAAAGGAATGCAGGGCTGCCAACTGCCAAGGAGCATGACGACGCAATCTGGTACTGCATAGTTGATGACATAATCATTCAGCAAGCGCAATGGCTGCACAAATGATCTTGAGAAGCTCCGGGTTCCTTGTCTTGGTGGCGCTGGCTACAGGGAGTCCATACGCTGCTGCTTGATCAGGAAGTTGTGCTAGTTCTTCTTTGGCAGATCTTCGATGGCTTTTGTGACTCCCTTGAGCGCTCGGTCTAGCTGCACTTTGATCTTCTTGTCGAGCTGTAGCTTGTCAATCCACCTGATGACTGCTGCCGAAGTTGTTGCTGATGGTGCATTGGAAGCAAGTGTTTTGCTAACCTGTTTGGTCATCAAAGTGCACTTAGCGCCCGAACCGACCCACCACCATCCCCAGGCATTCCGCCTAGCTGTCAAGTAGTTTAGCTAGAGTAGAGCGCTGGCTGGCATCCGATATGGCCATGCTCGCTAGCCTGGCGCTTGTAGCGAAGGTGGGCCTTGTCCCCGACGACCGAGAAGGCGTCCTCACGGTTCTCCCGGAGGATCTGCTTCTTCTCCCTCGCCCCTGGTGGTTTGCACGGTCTTCCCTGTGCTAGACTGCTGCTGCTTGGACCCTTTCTCCCTTTCTCCGGAAGGGCCAGATAAGATGTTTTAGCCAGCAGTTTGGGCATCGTCCTCGGTTGAGGCTGCTGAGGAGGTAGCGGCCCTACGTAATAGGTAGCCGGGATACACAAAAGCCGGTACACATCGTAGCTGCATAGCCCCAAGGTCTTCCGGCTGCTCTAGAACTAGGAATTGAGCCTTGCCCTGGGACCCCAACCCAGCAACTTCCCAAACAAAACCTGCAAAAATGTTACCAATTATCGCACGGTCTATCTCCTTCGCCGTCAGGTCTGGTACCCTCCGTGGGTGCTCATAGCTCCGCACCGGCCTAAGGCCTGAGTAGTTAATTAGCCCACGTCGCCCGGGAGAAGGTAGCGCAGGGGGGCGAGAGGAAGATCAAATCGAAGTAGCCCGCCTCAATGAGATTGAGGTAGCGCTGACTTGGATAAGTCCTGCTTGGGACCACGCGGCTTATCTACCAGGGCCACTTGGATATCCTTCTAGAAGCTAGCCGCGAGCTTCTTGAGATAGGCTTGTACACTGGTGCCCGGACGGTGCCTGCTGCTCGCCTCTCTGAGGATGGCGGACCGCACTGTCAGTTATCCACCGCGGCCTCGCCCGTAGCCTTTTGGGTGCACTTGGTAGCCGGGCGCTTGCCCAGGCACTTCGTGCAGACATGCTTGACACTGAAGTGGCATTTATCCCTTTCTTCGCACCCATTCTTAGCGTTGTACCGAAAGCGTATCGGCTCTCCATCCAGGGTCCTCGAGTAGCCCTGCTTCGCCTTGCCTGTTTTCAGCTTCTTGCTGTCGTCGCACTTCTGGCCCTTGCCGCCCTTGCCTTCGCCCTTGCTATCCGGACGGTGGGGCGTAGCCGGGGGTTCCGGCTGCGGCCTCTTGGCACAGAGCGACAAGGGAGTGGTGAACTGCCTCTCCTTCATAACCGCGTCCTTCCACGCCTGTACCAGCGCATCGGCAAACCTAGCCCTTTCATAGCCATCCATTTGTAGGCTTGCTTCCGGATAGCCCTCTCGTAGCTCAGAACCAACGTCCAGGGTGGAGCCAAGGATCCACTATCCTCGTTGGATCTTAGCCCGTAGCAGTAGTCGGCCAAGAGGTAGTCCTCGTACTTTTCAAAGAGCTGCTGAGTCGTACCTTTGAGCTCTATCAGCTAGGGTGGTGCAGCCCTATCATGAGGAGTGCATTCTGCATCACTGCTAGCCTTAGCCGTAGCTGTTCCGGATTCGCCGGCATAGCCCCTTTGGAGGAGGCCTTCTTAATTCCATCATTTACCTGCGACCTTCCACTCAACCATGAAACCTGTATTACTCGAGCGCCCCTTGCAGTGTCAGAGAAACTGAGCAGGAAGCTGAAAGCAAAAGGTCATTCAGGGTTTGCAAGGGCTGCCTCGTTTCAACTGTTGTCACACGCGTCCTGCATTCTGCGACGACGGTGACTATACTGGCTCACTGGGCTCAGTTCTTCTTGCTGTGAGCACGGTCACGCACACTCCGAATGCGGAGCCACGGCGCCGGAGTACATGGACCGCGAGGGTCACGGAGAAACTGATCATGTCTCTCTCTTTCTCTCTTTCGACAGGCTAGGACAAGGGGATTGCTCCTTTGCTTTGCTTTGCTTCGGGGTTGGGACGTTGGCAGACCCAACGCCCCGCGCTCAAGGCGCTTCCCCATCCAACATGTTGTCAGGTGGAGAGTCTGTACGTGGTCAGCGTTGTGAAAAGGCTGCAAAGGTGCGTGTGCCACGATGGGGGCAGGGGTTCAACGTTTAGAGCAGGCTACCACAAGGTGAAGTACTTCAAGGTGGGGTGCCCATTCTTCCTGGTACTCTACCAACTTTATGCCTCTCTCTCTTTCGTTGGTGTTTCCTTTATTCCTTCCTTCATTCCTTTCCTTCTTTCGTTTGTCCTTTATCTTTTCCTTCCTTCTTTCCTCTGTTTCGTTCTTGAGTTCTTTCTTTCCTTCGTTCTTCCTTTCTTTATTTCGTGCCTTTCCTTCCTTCCTTCTGCGGCCCTTTGCTTCTGCCTTTCTGGCTTGCCTGTCTCCTTCGTCCCTAAAACTCAACCAAGGACGCAACAAAAAAACACGCAAAAAAGATGAGGAACGTATTCCGAGATCGCATGCTTGCACCAGCAGCGGCTGTGAACCATGTAAAGGGAAAGATGCCGGTGTCGTCATAAACAATCGCTGCAGATACACAGTTAGATTGAGGTGATCCCCCATCTGTTTTTTTTTTCGTGTGCGCCGTGCTACAAGTCTAAACCACAGGTCGCGCCCCAGAATCAATCAGTACCACAGCACACGGGTACATGGTCTGAGCACATGCGAGTGCTGCTGGGACTGCGCCTGCCCATCGACCATGACGCCCACATCGTGCTGCTTTCGTTCCAGCATCTGGTATACACTTTCCTGTGTTGCTTCGTGGACAAAGCGATTGGTGACTCAAAATCGGAAGATCTATCTTGACGAATGGGAACGGCTTGCAACCTAGAAACATCCAGGGTGTCTTTGGCAATGAGGTAGTGGACATTCACGGACTCTTGCTGGCCCATTCCTCGGCGGCTCCACTGCAGGTGGACCCGTGCAAAAGCAAGAACACCACCGGGAACAGGATCCGTGGGCTCCACAACCCTGCAATGCGACCAAAGGCAAGCGTCGATGGGCTCGGTCTTCAGCCTCCATGGTACGAGCGCAGCTGCGATGCAGGAAAGAAGGGCTTGTGATAGCTTTCTTACTTTCGGGCTCAGCATAGCTCAGCTTCCATGGATCGTCCGTGCTTCTGGCAAAGAAGGCGATGCCAGACCTGAAGCAGCGTCCCTGGCGTCCAATGCAGCTCCGCAAAGACCACTGTCGAGCAAACCTGGATGTCGCGCGATGCAGCGCTACCCCTCCCTAGAAACATCACGATCACGCTAGGTTTGAAATATCGCAGACCCGGTACTTCAGGAAGAACAGTGCTCATTGGATCATACCGCGAGATACCGCGAGATAGAGAGTCTCCAACCAATTCATAGTCTTTCCGGACGGATTTGTTGTTAGGCTCCTCTCACTGCGCTACAAAGGAACGGTCGTGCCTGCAGGTTGAGGCCTTGTCCGCACGCCGTAATCGACAGCAAGGCCACCTGGAGTCCCTCTGCTCCCCTCCTTCCCGCTCCCTCCCCCTCTGAGACATCGGCTTGCTTGGCCGGATTCGAGCGAAACTCGTTCACCAACCTTGATGCTGAGGAGCACGCGATCAGCCACCCATGGGTCAGCCACAAAGCCACAACCGTGGCAGAGCTTTTCTCCAAGGCACTGCTCTCGCTTATGCGAAGGAGTCTTGCCATCGATTCCTTTGCTCTCAAGGCAACAGGCATCGAGCGCAACGCCCTCTTGTCAAGATTCCACTCATTGAACAGACCAGGAGCGGTTGGAAAGCTTACGGCATGATGATGTTCTGTCATACTTGCATGATAAGTTATAAACTATTTGTAGTCGGCTCGCTGCAAAAAATAGACGGTGGCATGATGTAATAATATCGCAGATGGTCAGTACAGTATGACATGACAGAAGTTCAAATATAGCAGAGTACAGAAGAATGTGGCAAGGAGGATATTTTCCACTGTTCAGCAATTGGGCTGGATGTACTAAGTGGGAAGAAGTCCAGCGAGGCGTTGCTCACACTATAGTATGATGCGAAATGATATAATACAAAAGGAAGACAGAACAGCATTCGCCGGAATAGAAACGAATAGAATAGAATAAACCAAACAACGGAACAGAACAGAACAAAACGTTTTAAATGCATAATACGACGTGCAATATTATATATACATTCACAAGTAATATACCTAATTTACATCATACAATCTAATGATAAACCTTATGGCTTTATGATGCAATGCAATACCATCTAACAAAATACAATAAAGTATCATAGAATGTAGCATCACAAAAAAAGTGCATGCATGTGTCACACATGTAATTATGCATGCATGCAATCAAGAAGAAGGTGGTACACAAGCATGTACATAAATACCCCTATGCTTGTGTGTATGTATATGTGTGTGTATATATATATATGAAATTCTTTGTGTGTGCGTGTATGTATGTACTTACATACACATATATATATATATACATACACTATATTATATATATATATATAAGTAAGCCGCTCTGGGTCCCGTCGCGCCCCTAAGGTATTCGACAGCCCCGGTGCGGATGAATCCTGCTTTCAACTTCTCGAGCTTCTGCTGTAAGGTGTCCATCACCTCAGAGCTCATCGAACTCTGTTGACTGTATCCACCCACGGCCGCTTATCCCGGGTGTGTTGTGCTAAAGAAGCAGAGGCTCTTCAGCAGAGGTGTCGAGGGGAACACGACTAGACACAACTAAGTTGAGGCGGAAAACGGGAATCGAAAACAGCAAAATCCGGCGAAATGAAGGCCGGTGTACCCCGTAGAGAAGCCAAGGCGTCAGAAACGCAGGAGGCAGGACAGGGTGCTCGTACTTTCCTCCTTTGGCCAACCGCTCCCCTACTTGGAGGACTACACCTCCGCCCCACGCCCGACTCCGACAAATTCTGCAAATCCCTGCATTTTAGCGGGGCCCATGTGAGTCACCGAGCCAGTTCAAGCGGCCTTAGGTCCTTAGGTCGCGTCCGAGCCGCTGCCTGGTGGTGTGCAAAAAGCAGGAAACGGCACTCAGCCTCCACCAAGTACTGGACCTCGGATCGGGCCCCAGCGGGCCCCAGCCCCAGGAAGCGCCTCCCTTCCAAGGCTTCCAAGGCACATAGTCTGCGACTGCATCCACTTTGGCGAGGCCAGTGAGCCTCAGAGAGGATTGGCACAGCTTGGCCCATGGACAGCCAAAGAAGATCGGCGCCTGAAAAGCTCCGTAGCAGCCGTCGCACCCCCACCATTCTTGCCGCCCTGCCACGTGCGCGGCCATGGTTCAACATTGAGCCCCGTCCGTCAGGTTTCGACTTTCCGATGTCAGACATGGCAGCCTGGAGATCTCCTTCTTCAGGCTGACCTGATTTTCCGAAGCGGAGAGAGGCTGCTTACCCGAACTGTCAGCGCCAAGGTAGGAAGCCGTCCGAATCTCTGTCGAGCCACGGCCGAAGGCACTCATTTTCTCCCGAAGCTCTTTCAGCACACCTGCATGATCGAATAGTGAACCGATTTTGCTATAAGAGAGCGAGACAAAGGCGCATGTCTGTCTTTGGATTACATTCCGGCGTGACGCAAGCGCCTTGCTCATTGCTGAGCCTGTCCTAGGCTGAGAAAGCCCGGCCCGTGCAGGACATCGCGTGACGCCAAAGCTGGAGGCTTCGGGACGAAACGAAGCGACGGGCCCATCGACGGCCCGTCGACGGCCCGTCGGCTCTGCGGCCGGGCGGCCAGCACCACTCGCTGCCGGCGCTTCGCCGGGAGCTGGCTCAGCACCTCCTGGGAGCGAACGTTATCCCAATGATGATGCTCCCTTCCCTCCAAAGGCTTGGTGTAAAAACGGCAAAGCCGTGAGCTTCTGAAGATATCTTCTCTACTTCTTACTGCTGCTAGTAGTACGACTTGCACTACAGCTGCCATTGCTGCAGCTGCCCCTGCCCCTGCCCCAGCTCCGGCTCATGTGCTGCTACTGCTGCTACGGCTACTACTGCTTCTGCAGCTGCTGCGGCTTCTGCCACCCGGCCCGGATTGCACTGCCTCAGCTGCAAGCCCTCTCAAGCTGCCTTCTTGAAGCGTCGGACCATGACGGCATCGAGGACTGCATAGAGCTCCTCAAACCACCATACCGAATCCAGTGAGCAGAGGTCTTACGTCCACGGCACACGGAGGGGAACACGCCAAGCCAGGCCAAGAGGCATCTCCCAGGCGACAGCCTTCCTTGCCATGGACACAGCAAGTCGTTGAAACCCAAAGCTTCCGCTGTGCCCCGGATTTCAGCAGTGGCGCAGCTTGTGTCTATGGGCCATCAGCTGGACAGAAGACTTCGCTTTCACACTAGTGCTACTAGCTAAACTCACCTTAAGCCGTGCCGGCCTTGTGCCACGGGAACCCTGAAGCCGGCAACGGCAAAGATTCCCATGTAGGGCAAGCATCCCACTGCTTGACATGCCGCTTGCCAAGCCGCAGAGTCTTCTCATTGCCTCGAGCTGGGACCATGCCGGCTGTGGGGACATGGCTCTGCTTGCCAGGTCACAGTACCTTTTGCAGAACACGTTGTGAGTCGGCAGCAGGCCCGGCAGCAGGCCTTCCAAGCGGCCAGACCAACGCTTCGAGAGCTAGACTACCGTGTCCCACACGGCCGATAGCGCGTCTGGGACTACCAGCGTGAACGTGTGTCAGGTGATGCCAAAGGGAAAAGCTCACTTCCACAATAAAGGGGAACGATCACCAAGCAAATGCGAGTCTGAGTCCGGGGCAGTCTAACAGCGAGTAGAGCTCTGAGGCCTCGTGGCTGTTCCCTAAGGTCATGTGACCCATGAAGCCTGATCTGCGGCTACCCTTCGGTTTTTGCAGGTCACTGGTATGTCACCGCCCTTCCCGGGCAGCCGCGAAGCACCTTCGCCAGGGCAGGCGTTCCCGTGAGGAGGGCACATCGCCGAGTCTCCTGGAGGATCGGACGAAGCGCCTCGCAAACCGGCGATTCCATCCCATTCCCATCATGTCACGCGCAGGTCGTTGACACTCGTGTTGATGCATACTGTCTGGAGGCCCTCTACCGTGGATGTGGCAAGTGCGCAATGCAGCTGGCGCGGGGCAGATGAGTTTATTCGTGCGCGAAACCCCCTCAATGAGAAGGGTGAAGAATGTCGCACAGAGTGGCGTAAGATATAATCAGAAGAGGCTTGTGTTCTTAAGGTGCCCCCTCGCAGTCCCCGCCTTGGATCGTTGAGAAGACGGCGTCTTGAGGAAATGAGCCTCAGATGCGAAATCAGAGCTGATTTGCTAGTCGGACAGGAACTTCCCAATTTTGTGTTGGGTGGCTTCGTCACAAATGACCACCCGGTACTTCTTGCCGTGGGCCGACTGCTGAAAGGCTTCCTGCTCACGTTGTGGCGTCGTCCCGACTGGGCAACCAAAGCCCAGGGAATCTGGAGGGGTGAATTCAGACAAACCAACATCTTTCAGCACAGATCTTCTTGGTTCACACAGGACAAGAAGATGTCTTGTTAGATGCGCCGTATAGCCTAATTTGCAGCGCACCAACTGCAGCCTGCGCACGACCGGGAGAGAAACATGCAAACTCAGCTCTGTGAACCGCAGCAGCTCCTGCTGAGCTATCAGGTCGTAGCTGACGATCACCACTCGTGCCTGCCAGGCTTTGAAAGGTAGCAACAGAATTGAAGCACTTGAACATCGCTGGCTCATGCACGCATTCAAAGTCCAAGCCCAAAACGCGACTCTCTGCCCCGAAGCCGGCAAACTAACCTGCTGAGTGTGAGAACCCAATGGCAGCATCTGCGCTTCTCCGGCCTCGTGGCGAAGCTTGTCTGAGCCCTGCAGGCAGAAAGGGACTCATGTCGGGATGGGGAGGGGCCAAGTCAAGCTGAGCGAACCAGTCCTTCCCTTCAAGTCTGGTCTGGCAGGAAGCAAGATATGCAGCTTTGCAATAGCCCCTGCCGGTGCCTTCAGCACCACCTGGATGTGACGTTCCTGGCGGGGCGCTACTGGCATATCCAGGATGCAGTCGCGACGAAGGGGGCGCTGCCTTTCACGAGTGCCGAGACGCAGCTTCTACGGCCGAGGCGTCTAACGGAGTCTAAACAGAGTCTCAGTTCCCCGCCGGGTTTGACACGATCGATGACGGCAGCCAGCGCGAGGCCTTCCGGGCCCAGGCCCAGGATGCAAAGCGGGCTCGATCCGAAGTCAGAGGCCCTGCGTGGCACCTCTCTAGGGCCTAGGCACTAGTCACTAGTGCTCAGGCTCACCTCTTCTCGCCAATTCCCACGCAAAGAGGAGGGGCAGACCTCAGCGCGGCCCCGGGCCAGTGAAAACCCAAAACCACGAGCGCTCTGCGAGGGCTCATCTGACAAGGGGCCACGAGCAATGGGAAGTCGCTTGGAAATTGGGAGCACAGTGTCAGGGCCTGGGCACACGTCGAAGCAAGGAACCGAATTCTTGCAGAAACCGGCAGACATCACAGCACAACTCGAAGCTGCTACCTGCTACAAGTCGAAACTTCGCGGTGCGCCATTGCCCGTGCCTGGGCTGTCTTGCCCAGACCCATCTCGTCTGCCAGCAGCACCCGGCCCCCACGCCGAAGTGCAAAGTTCACCTCGGCGGAAACGCATTGCGCGAAGGCCTTCCTGGCCTGTATGCATCTTGCTGTGTTCCAAGAAAGAAACAAACATGGATAAGTAGAAAGATAGATCTAGCTGGCTAGCTAGCTAGCTAGCTAGCTAGCTAGCTAGATGGCTGGAGAGGTACGTAGGCAGGCAGGCAGGCAGGCAGGCAGGCAGGCAGGCAGGCAGGTAGGTAGGTAGGCAGGAAAGTAGGTGGGTAGGTAGGTAGGCAGGAAAGTAGGTCGGTAGGTAGGTAGGTGGGTAGGTAGCTAGCTAGCTAGCTAGCTAGCTAGCTAGCTAGCTAGCTAGCTAGGTAGCTAGGTAGGTAGGTAGGTAGGTAGGGAGGGAGGGAGGTAGGTAGGTAGGTAGGTAGGAAGGTGGCTGGCTACGTAGGTAGCTACGTAGCTATGCAGCTAGGTACCTAGGTACCTAGGTAGCAAGATAGGTCGGTCGGTCGGTCGGTAGGTCGGTTGGTAGGTTGGCAGGTTGGCAGGTGGTAGGTAGGCAGGCAGGCAGGCAGGCAGGCAGGCAGGCAGTAGGTAGGTAGGTAGGTAGGTAGGTAGGTAGGTAGGTAGGTAGGCAGGGAGGGAGATGCAGGTAGATGCAGGTAGATGCAGGTAGATGCAGGTAGGTAGGTAGGTAGGTAGGTAGGTAGGTAGGAAGGTAGGTAGGTAGGTAGGTAGGTAGGTGGGTGGGTGGGTGGGTGGGTGGGTGGGTGGGTGGGTCTAA